CCCCCCAAAAAAAAAAAAAAAACCCCACACAAATCTTCTGGGGATCTGAAAGACCACAAGATCATTACATTAGTTCTCATTTGCTATGCAAGCAGAGTTGAAAGATACACACAAGAGGCAATGATCCAGTCACCACCTTTTGGGATGCACTCTCATCAGCATTTGACCTCACAGCTTGGAGTACAGATGAGAGCTCTATCTGTAGGTGCTGAAGGCGACTGCGTAGTTCATTGTGATTAATCAGTTCATGACGTAGACCTAACTCATTCCTTTCATTAGGATCACTATCACTTGCTCTCCACAGTTCTTCATCTTTTGGAATGTCCACTGACTCTTCCCTGCTAGTTTCGCTTGATGATATTTCAATGACTGCATCGGCAAGTAAAGGCCATTTAAACCAAAAAGTTTAACGATTAAGCTTCCAGAGAAGAAACATGCAGATAGAGTTACCTTCTGGATTAATATCTGAAAGTCCTGCCCGTTGAATGCTCCAAGCTCTCCACGATTCAGGCTTATGTGAGTTTTTTGAACTGTCGACATCAGAGGGCTCGCTCTGATTAAACCGCCCTCTTGACTCATCAAATGTTGCTTTCTTGGAGCTCAATGATGAAGACCTGCTGCCTCCGAAACAGCCACTAACTGTCTTTTACAATGTAAAAGCACCACATGTTATGTATTAGAATTTCTGTATCCAAAAAATAAAGAAAACCCAAAACAACAATAAATTTCAGAAATCAAACTTTGTAACTACAATATACAATAGCCTAATGCCGATGATGAGAGCACGTTCAATAAAGTTTTTAATTTTTCCATGAAAAACCAATTCATCTCTGAAGGATACTACTGCTCGCATGAGTTTATGTATGAAACTCCAAAAATTAAATAACAAGGAAAAAGGCTCGGGCGCGTTTGGAATTATTTTTTGTATGAAAATGAAAATAAAACGTTTTTAATCTCAGACAGAAATCATTTTTAAAAATGCGTTTGGTAGTTTTATCAAGAGATTGTTTTCAGTGTAAAAAAAAACTCATTAATGTCTCTCTTTCTCTCTCTTTACTCGAGAGAGGAGAAAACGAAAACAAACTAAAAAATCGTTTTCATTTCCGTTTTGCCTTTATTGCGCCAAACGCCGTTTTAGAAACGTTTTCATTTTTTCTTTCTCGAAAAACGTGAAAAAAAACGGAATCAATTCCAAATACGGCCGAGACTTTTTTCCTCCTTTTCTAATTGAATTTTTTGTCCATAGAAAAACACTGTATTAACATCAATATGCCATCATACCGCATCTGATGAGAATCCGGAATGCAGATCGTCTTTCCCATTGTTACTCGCAGAGAAAGTACGGTCATCATGTTCTGCCACACCGAATCCAAAAGTTAAACTTCTTTCTTTCTCCAATCTACTCAATATACCTTCAATTCCAGTCTCACGATCTGCGCTTGTGTTTGCCCGTTCTCTACGCAAAAAAGTGTAGATACTAGTTAATTTTCCCTTCACAATGTACGATTAACCTAATTTCCGATATGATTAACAATTGAAACACTAGTTCTAAACAGTCGTATAGCAACATCAAAATTTATAACTTTAGTTCCTTCATTAATCCAAAATAAGAATTAACCAAACCAATTAAGCATTCAAACAACAAGAGCAAATTTATTCAAAAGTTAAACCATAATAGAAACCCTCACAATGATCTACCCGACGATGAGGCCGAGTTGGAATAATCGTACGGACTTGAAGAAACCACTTCTTCTTCGCCAGTCCAATCACTGTTCTTCTGAAAACCATCAAATTCCTCGGCCGTTACAAAACCTGAATCGAAATCTCTATCTTCTCGACCTTCTCCTCCTCCTTCTTCCTCCAAGTCCCATCCCATCGACAGCCAGCCGCCTCTCTTCACAATAGCCTCCGCCAAATCCATCCTACCGGCGTCGACAAGCTCTTTCCTGCTCGGAAACGCGTCAGGCTTCTCCGAGCTCTTCATGAACTCCAGAATCTCCGCCTCCAACGCGAAATCCCCTTCGCAGTCCCAATCTTTGCACCGCCTCACGAACCCCGACCAACCGCAATGCAAACCGCGCTCGCAGTCCCTCACCAATCCGCTGCGGCGATAAAACCCTAACAGAGCGCACCGTCGCTCGCTCCCGCCGCCGAGGACGAAGCTCAGAGGCACGAACCACCGCTCTTGCCTCCTCCGAAACCGAGGCCTGACGACGGAGAGGACCGAGGAGGGAAAGGCTTGGTGAGACGAAGAAGCGGCTAGCGAAGAGGGCGTGACCAGCGTGTGAACTGATGCGGTGGTCGAGGCGAGCATGGCTCAGGCATTTCTTCGAACACTTGGTGGCCGAGGATTCGGTAGAGAAAAGAGAAGAAAAGAAAGAAGAAAACTAACCACGCAACGAACAAAACCACTGGGAAGCGTGGAAAGTATAAATTATGGTTTAATTTTATATAATCTGACTGAGCCTATGAATGCGTGCTCTATAATATACCGTATCGGGTATTTTTGGCGGGGGAAGAGAAAAAAGACAATCGTTTTTTATTTGTTTATTTATTTATTTTTTAGTTTGGTCTGTTAAAAAAGATAAGAGTAATTTTCACATTTACCCTGAACTTGTAGGATTTTGAAAATTTGCCTATTCATTTTCTAATTTATGGCAATTTACCCTTTTAACTTGCAAATTGTTGTAGTGTGTCTCGTTTTATCGATTTTATTCAATTTTTTTTTATCAGATTAAAGGATTAAGAATTTTATAATTGAGAGATTTATTTTACTATTTGAATTGAAATATTACAATTTTTCACTAAATATGTTTTTTTATTACCAATTTAACACAATTATCATTCTAATGAGGCATACATTGTAACAGTTTTATAAGTTAGGCATAAATTGTTAAAATTATTGTTAAATAACAATTTATTCTTAACTTATAAAGCATGTTTTTTCACAATTCTAGTTAAAAACTTGAGTTGTAAAGTGGCTATTACATGAAAAAAAATACTACAATAAAAAGTTAAATTTAAATTTTTATGTAAAAAAGTATTATAATAAAAAAAATTTGAGTCGTCACTCAAATTGTGAAAAGAATGTGCCCTAGAAATTCAAGGTGTAAGTTGTCAAAACTCTACAAGTTGAAGGACAAATATGCAAAATAACTAAAAAAGGGTTTCAGGGCGTGTTTGGATGGTGGATAAGATTTGTTAGTTTGGAATGCGGACAAAGAAACGAAACGGCAGTGTTTCTTTCTAATCCCGTTTGACGACAGGCTGTGTACGGCGGTCGACGACGCACCGTTTTGGGAAGCTGTATAAAAGGAAATTTCTGGAAGTTAAGTTAAAGCTCAGGTGACCCTGATAATTCCAACGTGCTTTGTTGGCTTCCTGTCAGGGGACATCTGATTGAAGTGATGTAAGTAACACAACAGATTATAAATGGGCCTGCACACATGGGATCTAAGCCTTTTATTGCCGCATATAAATTTAATAGTTTTTTATATTCTTTTTCTAAATATGCCGTGCTTGACACTTGACAGGAAAAAATAACTTTTTAAAAATTTTTATTCGTAAAATGATCACTTTTTATAAAAAATAATTAAGTGATCCTTTTTTATAAAAAATAAAAAAAATTATTTTATTAATTTTATTTTGTTAAATAGTCATTTTAACATATTTTTCACAGAAAAAGGGTCTTAAAAAAGCTTCAACTGTGTGAGTCGTTTTCTGGATAAATCCAAAAGGGGTTATTATTATACCATGATATTATTGCTTTTATCAACTTTTATGAACTGATCCTTCCCATGTTCTTGTGAAAAAGGAAACAAGTTTAAGCAATGCATGGTTTTAGCTTTTAATAATCTTCTTGTCAGATCCATTCAAATGTGAATGGTAATCTTTTGGTCTCCGTACGGTTATATAAAGCAAATTATTGAGTGCTTAACTAAATGGGGTTAACGATTCCATTTTATGGAAAACATGATTCCAATTGGGAACAAGTTGGAAAAGTTGAAGAAAGGGATAATCACTGAAATGGGAAAGCAGAATGAATATTCGAAAGATGGAAGTAAAACGTTAAAAGGGAATTCTCTAGCAACTTAAGAATGGGATAGGAAAAAAAGAAAAAAAAAAGGCATTCTTTACCGTGAGACTTAAAAATAAAACCCACCGGTTGAGCATTTTTTTTTTTTTACTGTTAGATTGATTTTTTAACAGTCAGATCTACATTAAGAATAATTTTATGTGACGTTATAAATTTTTAATACATACCTGTACAGATGTAATTGTTAAAAAATTAATTCAATTGTTAAAAATATAAGTTTTACCGGTGAGTTTTTTTTTTTTTAGTTCCATCGTAGAAGATGTCCAAAAAAGAAGGAAAAAAAAGAGAGGTATACAACTGATTGAGGAGTGGGGAAATAGGCAAAACAAAAACAAATGTATATGTTTTTTGGTTTGGTATGAATTCTATACTCTCGTCCTTACATATTAAGAGAGAGATTAAAATATGAAAATTATTTTTAAAGGATTTGAAAATCCATTACTCACACTCCCCCTTTTTTTCTCTCCTAATCCTTCAAACAATCCCTTCACTCATCCCCATCGTTCCATTTTTCTTTTCCATCAAACAAGTTTTAAGGTAAGTTTAGGCGAAAGCATGCGTGTTCAAGTACAAACTTCTTTTCCATATGTACTGGTCTTGCAAAAAACAGCTTAAAACATAATTAATGTTGGATCGTCCTGTCAGACTATAGAATGCAAAATAGAAACTAGAGAAAAGGATAGGGATTGTTTCTGCATTCGTCTCAGATTCTAAATCATAATTCATGATTTTTTACAGTATTTTTTTCTCACAAAAAATAGACGTAAAACGAAAATAATTTTGAATCTATGAACCAAATGTCTACTAAGATTTCTTATTATTGTAATTATAGAAAATATGATTATAAATAAGCTAATAAGAAGGGGTTTGTATATATACCTACAAGCGAAAGAATAACAAATCATTATATCCTTTCTAATTAAAGAATATAAATAATTAAAACATGCCGACAAATAACCAAGCTACAATGAATAGGAAACACAAAGTAATGTTATGATCAACGATCCAATAGCAAATACTGATTATAAATATCAACAAAAGAACGTTTTGATGTGCGTCTAAACATGTTAAGCTCCGTATAAATCATGCATTTGAAAATCAACTCTTTAATATTGGTATTTCTCTAGTTCACCCCTTTTTTGCTACAGCTCAGCTCGGAGAAAGAAAAAAATATCTAAATTCTTCGATTGAGCCTGCCAATAGCTTCTGAATTCGGAAAAATCATTGTTTTGACTTTTGACTATAAAGGTCGTTTTCGTTTAGAAAATGTCGATTGGTTGTTATCTTTTTGGAGTTGGAGTTCAGAGATTCTCTTCACCTAACGAGGTATTTGCAGCAACTAAATATGTTGTTGTTGGAATGAGTTGTATGTCACCACAAGAAAATGGCATTTTAGCGGCGGCAGTAGTTGTAGTTGTTAAAATAGGAGAAGTAATCGTTACAAAAGTCATGTCGTCGCTATAAAGTTATCACTATAACTTAGTCGCTACAAATTTTTTAGGGACAATATTGTTGTAGCTATTAGTGGTAACGACGACATGTATAAATTATACTATTACTCCACGCCATTATTTTCCAGAGTTCATTCTCTTAAAGGTGACTGATAAATTAAATAACCAATCGTGATTCACCTTATCTCATCCATGATTTAAGGCATTCATTGTGATATAAGTCAATGGTTTATCTATAGCATAGCAGCTGTACATATTTGTTACCATATTTGTTTCCTTAGAATCAGTTTTGTAATTGTATATATACGTACACAAAGTCAATGAATAATATAGCAAAAACCATTCAATCACCATATTGTCGTTTATGGTATCAGAGCCCTATTGACTCTAAGTCAAAGATCCCTTTCACTTCTTTCCAAACGGTTGTCGATTCTTCCTACACAAAACATGTCTGATAACTCTTCAACCTCTACAAATTCCAGTGCTGTGACTGTCATGACTGGTGACAATCATCATTCTCAAGTTATCTCAATCAACACTGCTGCACTTATTCCCCAAAAGCTATCCAAAGGAGGAAACTACTCTATGTGGCGTTCTCAAATGACCAATCTTTTCCTCGGCTATGATCTAATGGGTTTTGTGGACGGAACTCACTCTTGCCCACCGCAAACCAAGAAAGATACTGCATCCACAACCACCATCAAAAATCCGGATCACAAACTCTGGATTAGACAAGATCGCCTCCTTCTTCTTGCTATTCAAACTGCTGTCACAGGTACTGCCTCCCCTCTTGTTTCACGCTGTAATACCTCTGCAGAAGCGTGGAACAAACTTGAGACGACCTATGCTAATAGGTCGAACACACGCTTGATCGGACTCATGGGTGCTCTTACAAGAGTTAATCTTGAAGAAAAAACTGTGTCTGAATTTATGCAGTCCATAAAAATCATTCTTGATGACCTTGCCATGATTGGTCATGAGTAAACAGATGGAGAGCTCGTAGTTCATGTGCTAAATGGACTCACTCCTAAATTTAAGGACTTAGCCTATCTGAGCCCGAGAATCGCCAATTTCATTTGAAGAACTTCATGAAAAACTTCTTGACCAAGAAGCAAGCCTCAAATGTGATACTACAAAGACAGAGCTTCCATCTCCTACTGCTCAATTTAATCAAAAGCAACCCAACAAAAAGGGAAAAGGTGGAAACTCTATTGCTGCTCCACACAATACTCAACCTCACAACAATCCAAATTTTGGTGGATACAATCCCAATTACCGTAACTCTTCAAACAATCACGGTTGAAATAATTTTCAAAGACAACAAGACTTTTTTTATCCCGGAAATTTCAACCAATCTTGGCGTCCCTACTCCAATGGAGGACAACCCCATCCACTTTGTCAACTATGCGACAAAGTTGGTCACAACAACAAGGTGTGTCGCTCGAGATCAGCCCCTAACTCCAATGCGCCACACTGGCCTCAAGCCAATTTCACGACACAGTCCTTTTCTGGAAACAATGCGAACTGGGTCGTAGACTTCGGCGCATCACACCATATGACCTCGGATTTACAGAATCTATCCGTTCACTCAGAATATGGTGGTAATGAAGACATTATGGTTGACAATGGTAAAAAATTTCCTATCACCCATGTTGGAACTACTATGCTTATCTCCCCAAGTACTACCTTTTAGTTAAATAATGTTTTGTGTGCACCAAATATAAAACAAAACTTGTTGTCTGTTTACAAACTCTGGATTAGACAAGATCGCCTCCTTCTTCTTGCTATTCAAACTGCTGTCACAGGTACTGCCTCCCCTCTTGTTTCACGCTGTAATACCTCTGCAGAAGCGTGGAACAAACTTGAGACGACCTATGCTAATAGGTCGAACACACGCTTGATCGGACTCATGGGTGCTCTTACAAGAGT